TTCTCGTACTCAAGTACAAGTACAAGTAAATGGGCAAGTATACTTGTTTAACGACAAGTAAAAGTACAAGTACATTTTTTTCAGTACAAGTAAAAGTACAAGTAAATATTTTCAAGTACAAATAAAATACTTTTACTTGCTGTACTTGTACTCGTCCTAGCTCTGGTTTACACTACAGTTATTCGAATTTATCAACTTATATATATGAGTTTTTATTTTTTAATTTAATTCTCTATATATAAGTCAGATATAATTTTATCTTGTGATTTTCTTTAAAATTTTCTTTGATTTTAATCATATAGATTATTTGTCAACTGATGATTCCCTTCAGCAAGGATGAAATTAGTCTTGACTGCTGTTCACACCCACACCCACACCCACCCGCACTACTGAATAATGAATTTTATCAACCTGTATATATTGAGTTTTTAATTCTATATATAAGTCACAGATAAATTATTCTTTTTTGATTTCTTTAAGTTTTAACTTTGAATTTAATTTAATTTAATCATAAGGTAATATTTGCCAACTGAAGAGTCCCTTAAGCAAGGACGAAACCGGTCTTGGTAGCTGTTCACACCCACACCCGACTAGTTCCCATGGAAATCGAAATTTTTTCAGATAGCCAAAATAAGGTTACAAATATTCGATGGATTCTCTGTTTATTCATCAAGCAGTGATGCGAAAAAACTGCCTCATGAAAATTTTATTCTTCAAAGCTTGTTTTTTTCTGCTTGATTGATAAAGAAAGCAGTCATTGAATATTTTCAAAAGCAAATACCTCATGCATACTTATTTCATCTCTTATTAAATGGTGTAATATACCAGTTAAAATAAATATACATATTTTGGAGATCGTTCGACTACCTTTAAAGTCAATAGTATTCCTAGCAGAATATCTTCAATTGTATCTCAACATGCAGCGATACTTCATTCTTATCTCGATTATACTGTAAGTGATGGAATTCTATCAAAATTAACAATGTAAAATATTGATATTTCGCTTTAGATCTTGCGTTTCTACTATCACAGGTACGTCATTGACTAACTAAACATTCTTACAGAAATGGTATTAATATCTTGTTGGACAAGATATCTCTAGTAGTTCAACTCCGACATGTGGATATTGCCCATCATCATATTGTCCAGTAAAGTCGCAGCCATGTTCATCGAATTCTGATTGTGAATGTTTACTAATGGCAATGACTGGAGGAGGAATGTGTGCTGATACAGTCATCTCATGTCAAAGTTTGAGCCCATGTGGAAATGATAATCAAACATGTTCTTCACCAAATACTGTTTGTGTGAATAATAGTCGATGTGGAGTTCCTATCTGTTTTCCAATAAGTCGAGCTTCTTCTGATCGATGCCCTTCATTGTCTTCGAGAGTATCTATTACCACCTCAGGTAAAATTCTTTTCACAAATAGATTTATAGATTAGGGTGGTTTGTTTCTAATTATATATTGTATAAAATATTGTTTTCTCCATTGAAAGCGTCATCAAGGTCGACATTATCAACATTACAATCCACCATGGCAAGTACCATCAGTTTCACAACCACCGCCTCAACAACGACTTCTATACCGAATAGTAGGTACCAGGATACTAAATGATGATAAAGATGCTCTATAATTTCAGCAGGTAATAGTAAAGGAAATCTTCAATAGTCATGTATGTGTCTTCTTCTGTTAGGAACCTTTTCACTAAGATCTCCTTTTTTAACGAATGACTCTCGAAGAACCTAATCTTTAAAAATGTTTCCTTCTAGCATGGCGTTATACTGGTGCTATGAATAATCCAAGAAGTATGCACACATCTTCGGTGTTAACAAGTGGAAAAGTGTTAGTTGTTGGTGGACTTGGCAGTCAAGACACTTCTGAACTCTATGATCCATCACTAGGCAGTTGGATGGCAACTGGTAGATTGAATATCGGGAGATATTATCAAACTGCAGTGGTATTAAGAAATGGAAAAGTGCTTGTTGCAGGTGGCTATACTTTTGACAGTAGCAGTGCTATAAACAGTACTGAATTGTATGATCCATCAACAGGCCTATGGACAGTTACTGGTTCTCTGAACTATGCACGCTATGGACACACTGGAACTCTATTATCTGATGGAAAAGTACTAGTAACCGGTGGATGTGGAAACAGCTATTTAAGTACTGCTGAAACATACGATCCATCTACTGGAATTTGGACCACAATAAGAAGCATGAATTATATAAGGCTTTGGCACCAAGCAGTTGCACTAACGGATGGTAGAGTGCTAGTTATTGGAGGATATGGTGGCTTGACCAGTGCTGAAATATATAATTCATATACAGGTACCTGGACGACCACTGGTTACATGAATAGTGCGCGATATAGTCATAAAGCATGTACTTTAACGAATGGGAAAGTTTTAGTTGCTGGTGGGTCTACCGGAAGTGTTTACTTGAATAGCAGTGAATTGTTTGATCCATCGACAGGCACTTGGACATATACTGGTAATATGAATAGTGCACGATATTATCATACAATGTCAGTATTGACTAATGGGAAAGTAATAGTTATTGGTGGAGCTAATGCCGATGCAGTTCTGAGTAGCACAAAAGTTTATGATCCATCAACAGGAAATTGGATTTCAACAAGTGATATGAATATCATAAGACATTCTCATACAACATCTGTATTAACAAATGGAAAAGTTTTAGTGACTGGTGGATCAAATCCTAATACTCAGAGTAGCGCAGAACTCTTTTAGTTGTTCGAGATTCATGAATATTTATAGTTACTAAAAGTTTATTTACATCACAGATTTTATATTAAAACAATATATTAACAAATGTATCCGATTCATTATTATATTAGTAAATATTTTATTTTCGAAATCTTGATTGGGTACGAGGAGTGGGATTTGGCTAGATGTGAATCGATCTGAGAATATTTCGGCCTGACGCTTGATCTGGATGATAAATAAGTCAGTTAGTTTTAACGGCTGTTTTTGGAAATCAAACATTAGCTAGAAATTAAGACATTGAACCGAGTTAGAAATTAAGACATTGAACCGAGTTAGAAATAAGTAGTGTTGGCACCTAGTCTTTGTACATTAAATGAAAAGAGACTATTCGATTATTTTTTCTTTTATAAGAGTTAGATATACCTGTACTACGATACATTCGTATCAATATATTGACTTGTTTTAACGCATGATGTATACATGTCTCGCTTAATTACATTTGAAAAAACCTACCTCACCGATCTCGAAAACAACTCAATCAAGCGTGCTTCTCTAATTTCATATTGAAAAGTAATATTCATGCGTCAAACTGAAAGTAAATGTTATGAGTATTGTTTATCCACTTATAAAACTAACTATAATCCTGGTGTATAGAATATGTACAGTTGTTTGTCAAGATATAGTAACATTCGATTCGTAGCTTGATAATATTATAAACGGTGAAATTTTGATAAAGGTTACTAAATAATTTGCCTTATCTCGATGGAGTGTGAGGGCGTGGATGAATCAATTTAAAAACAGATCAATCTATCTGCTAGTCTCAACTTTTGCTTTTCAGCAACCGATCAAAGGTCGAAAACAATTTAAAATATTGAATGGTTTCTAAATAAAATTGTGCTTTAAATTTAAAATTAAATTAAAACAAATGCAGTCTAATTTCGTCGATCCGTTTCGTGAAATTAGTACTCTTATATTCTTGTTTTGCTACACATTCTATGTGTTGCTTGGTTTATTGATTCATCCATGTTATATTCTGAAAAAAAAACGATCACTATAATGTAGTGCCCGAGACTTTTTGTCGAGTGTATCATATTCAATATCCAGCTGGAATTCATTTGTATCGATAGATCATTCTTCTACAATAGGAAGAACAGCATCAGCCATTATTCCACCTTTAGTATTTTCCAGAGTTGGTGTAGTCATATACAAAAGAGTTTTGTAATCGAAATCGCCT